AAGCAAACACAATACTTTATAATTTTGAACACTTTGAATGAGCAATGAGCATAGTACACATGTGCTTCCTCTAGTAGCTTCTCGAAATCTGGAATACATTCCTGGCCTTCTCTCTCAGCTTTGAAAACTCCTTTTTAGCAAATACTATTATGATGTAGTTGTATTTTTTCTCCTAAGGTTAGGTCTTGCACCACACCTATTTTAAGAACAACAGAGACCTCAGAGAAAAAAGATCTGATACACAGATACATTGCAGAAAAAAAAAACTGAATTCATGATAGCTTTCCAGTTTTGACAGACAGAAAACCTTAGATTAGATTGCTGTTGTTTATTATTATTATTACTATTATACAGGATTTATATAGAGCCAACAGTTTGCTCAGCTCTTTACAATATAACATACATATCTCACCATTATACTTAGTAAAATGTTTTAAAGCCCATTTGAACCTTGTTAAATTATTACTGTATTTGCAGCCTGACTGCCTTAATATAATAAATAAAAATGGCTCAACTGGGCTTTCAGCAAGTCTAAGAGCCCATTCACACTTAAAGCCTAATTGATCTTTCCATTAACCTCTTCACGCCGGCAGCAAGCAAATGTGCGGCCTCCCAGCGTCTGGGCCTAGACGCAGAGCGGCCGCACATTTGCGTGCAATTAAGAAAAACATATGTGCTGAGAGCGTGTGCCCTGCGTGCTCCCAGCACACATGTCCGGTACTCATGGAAAGGTCCCGATCGAAAAACCTTTCCTGATCATGTGACCGCCATGATGGTGAATCACGGCAGTCATATGACCCTAAAACCCCGCTCGCCTCCCGGCTTCTGAGACCCTTAAAGGGCCGGGAGGCACCAAGGGGTTAATATTAGCTAAATACATTTCAGATGCATCAAAACAAAGGGAGTGTAATGTCCTACAATTGTTTGCTATAAAAATCAACCATAACATAAAAAATTTAAAAAAGTTTGCGTTCTGGAAGAATGCTACAGATTGAGATACCTCTCTGTGATGAAGCAGTGATCTCTTTGTAGTCGTCCAACAAGCCCGTTTGAGATTCGCTGATTGCAGAGCTGTAGATCTGACTTAAACTCTGTACACATGGGCCAAATATCAAGTGGTATTGGCCGGTTCACTAGAAACCAGCTAACATTCGGCTTGTGTGTACGGCAGCCAGTCCAACAAAAGCCAGCCGAATGTTTGACTTCTGTAAAAGGGGCATTACCGAAAAAGGTCTGCCAATCTGATCAGCACTCTCAGCCAATAGATGAGAGTGCTGACTATTGTTTTCGTGTGGGGGAGGGGTGGGTAGGGGAGCTACCATTCGGCTTGTGTGTACGGCAGCCAGTCCAACAAAAGCCAGCCCAAATGTTTGACTTCTGTAAAAGGGGCATTACCGAAAAAGGTCTGCCAATCTGATCAGTACTCTCAGCCAATAGATGAGAGTGCTGAGTATTGTTTTCGGGTGGGGGAGGGGGTCAGAACACAATAGCACAGTGGGGAGATCGCTGTACTATCCTCATATAGTCAGTACAACAAGCTCCTCCTGAGTTCCTCAGTTTTTTTTTTCGTTCAGCCGCTGGTTGAACAAAGAAAAACAAACTTATAGTGTGTGCTAGGGTTTAGTTAGGGATGTGTTAGATCTCTGCAATGAGACCATAGCTTCCCCACAGAGAGTATCTGGCAGAGGACAGGCTTCCTACTCAATTTGTGCTGCTTTAAAAGAAAATAAACTGTAAAACACATGACACCTTTTGTTTTATTGTGTTTAGTTGATTTTAAACTATAGGCTAAATTTGGGCTTTAAAGCATTTTCTATGTGCAAAATAAATGGGATTTGCATTTTTTCAGCACAACCTAAAACATAGGGCATATGTATATGTGTGTTGAGGCACAATATATCACAAGTACATGACCTTGCACTGTTGATGTGTGTCGGTGTGCAGTTTCTTTAGTGTTAATTCACTACAAAACACATATACAATGCATCGCAGTGCATTGAGGTAATGCGCAATATGCTGTGAACAAGATTTTAACTGATCGTATTCAAAAAAGAACTCATCGGTCATGAATCAAAGTTCTGTTTTTGTGCCATTTTTTGTAAGGTACATTTTTAGCTCTATACTTGAAAACGTTATAGAAGGGCTCATTGATTCAATTTTTGTACATGTCTCACCTAATGTTTTAAATTATGTTACTCACAAATTAATGCCAGTTGATCCATGTCAAAGGCTTAAAATAACTGTTTTTGCATGTGCAGCTGTAGATTTTCATTTGTTATAAATTACACTGGAGGTTATGTGAAAATATTAACTATTTCTGTGTACTGTATCTGCAGATAAATTATTACAATTATTTTGCATTTTACCTTGGTTGAAATAGAATATGTCCCTAGGTTCTCTGATGTGTTCATTGTAACATTAATTCCTTGCAATCACTGCTTCATCTTGATTGTATGATTATTTATGTGGGAGTAAAGTACATGGATAGCAATTAATCAAAGAGTTCTTGGAGAAGTGCAAAAGCATCGCTCAGCATGCCATAATTAATTCAATTTGCGATGGAAAATACCACCTTAGTATATAAATGTATAGGTCTATGCAAAAAAGGAAAATAAGGCTGGAGTTATTATGTTTGATAAAAAGGCAATCTTTGTAAAACTTTAAAATGTATTGGAATAATTGTAAAAAAAAATAAGGAATAAAAAGGCAATATGAAAATAGTGGCAAATAAATGGAATATTATTGAAAACGTGTAAGAGTGAACTCAGTTTATAATTTACTGGTTTGAGGAGAAGTATGTTCCCAATTAAGTCCTAAAATGACCATGTCAAGGTAAGAAAATAAATCCTAAAACAAGGTGCCCTGCAAAAGAAGAGCTACTATACTCATCCTTCACGAGGTCTTGATTGTTTAATGCCTGCATCCCCCACTGTACAAGGTAGTTCCATCCTCAAACTCCTGCATCACTGCTGATCCCTATAATGACATAATTTATAATAATAAAATGCTGTGGCCTTTAAGCTCCAATGGTAATAAAAGGTAATGTTTGCTACAGAGACAGCAAACATGCAAAAGTAGATGGTCACAGATTGCGGGAACAAGTTAGAGACATATATAAATATATATATATATATATTGACAAAGTGTACAATAATGTTGTAAGAGATCCATAAAACAAATTGGGGGTTTCAGGGTTCCAAAAGATCATATATTTGTACGGTGTAATATTCACTGGTATAACTTATGTATATACCTGTATATATATATATATATATACTCTTTGCCTGCTAAGAGAATTCATGGAAAAAGTCGCTTACAAGTGACAGTCCATGCAATTGCCAGGGGTCAGATACGACTGAATAGATAGATAGATAGATAGATAGATAGATAGATAGATAGATAGATAGACAGATACTCTTTGCCAGACAGTTGCCACAAAATAGCTAAGGAGGAAGGTCAACCGCAGGGGTAGGTTTACTAAACCTTGAGCACTCAGAATATGGTGCAGCTGTTCATGGTAGCCAATCAGCTTCTAACTTCAGCTTCTTCAATTAAGCTTTGACAATAAAACCTGGGCGTTGATTCAGTGCAGAAGAGAGCCTGATTTTGCACTCTCCTGCTTTAGTAAATAAACCCCATAATATGAATTTCTATGTGTATTTGTTAATAATACTGTATATTCACATATTGCTAATCAGCATGTGAGAGATGTGAACTTTTTTTTGCAAAACTTAAATCGAATTTTTGATGGTATAGAAAATTTGACTAATTAAATGAGTCGTGTAAGATATGTAAACATTTAATTCCCAGTTTACTGGAAGAATTGATAAAATCTTCACTCTTGCGGTAATTAACATGCCTAAAACACCTGCCAATTAAACTTTAAATTAGATTGACATTGTCACCTTAATCCATGGGCATCACTCGATTATAATGTGTTAATATTTACTAACTGATAGTATATTTTCAGCAAAACCTTACAAATGATTTAAAGTTGAACACACATTATTTTGTCTCTCTATTCACTAATGCATCATAAAATATATTATTTTTATGTGAGGAGTGTAAGTATGTGAATGTGGCCATGTATCAGATGAGCTAAGAGTGAGAAAGGGCGAAGCAGGACAAGGGGCCAATCAGTTGTGTTGCAGTGTACATGCGGATAGGAGGAAAGAGCAGTGTGATAAGAGAGGTTATCTCATCAGTCTGCTTCTTTCCCTTTCACTGCTCAGTCACTCGCTGAGGGTGAGACAAGATCTTTAAGAATTGTGACCCCAAACCAAAATTGAGGATGCCACTCAGGCTGTAAAGATCCCAAACAATAAAACAAACCACTATGAGTGCAGGCTAGGACAGAGCTCATCCCTGCTCCAGATGGCAATGTACAGGGAAGAAAATGTTCATATGAGCTGCACATCTCCTAAAACCCCAGGTAAGAAAGTTTAACAGCTTCAACCCAGGCTCCAGCCAGGCCATGCCCCCAACATATTTCACTCCACCCCAACCCCCCCCCCCCCAGAGCTTAATCATGGGGATAGGGAATCCATGCTTATCAGAAGAATGAATGCATCATTGGCTGTCATAGAAAGAAAGAAAGAAAGAAAAAAGAAAGAAAGAAAAGAAAGAAAGAAAGAAAGAAAGAAAGAAAGAAAGAAAGAAAGAAAGAAAGAAAGAGAGAAAGAAAGAAAGAAAGAAAGAGAGAAAGAAAGAAAGAAAGAGAAGAAAGAAAGAAAGAAGAAAGAAAAAGAAAGAAAGAAAGAAAGAAAGAAAGAAAGAAAGAAAGAAATTAAAAATGACAATTGATATGTCAGAAATAGATTCCCCCTAAAATCATTAAATCTTTATTGAAAATACAGAAAATGTATTAAAATTGAACAAAAAAATGTTTAAAGTGTTACTAAACCCACAACAGTAAAATCAGTCTGTATATGCAGTAAAGCGTGCTTGTTATACTCACTGTGGAACATAAGGGGTTAATCCTCTGCATTGCGTAAAAAGGCTGTTTGATCCTGTCTTCTCTGCCCCTCGTCTTGTGAAAATGTGCACGCTGGTAAGACAGACTGAGCCCGCAGCCCTTCTGCACATGCTCATTTACGTGTGTATTTCTAGAGAAGTTTTGTTTTTCTTGGAAGAGTGCATGTGATCAGCACAGGGCCAATCAGCACTGTCAAGACAGACTGTCCAGACAGAGGGTCAGGGGTTATGCATCCTCCTAGAGCAGAAAGAAAACCCCTCCTACATACTTTAACCAGTGATCAGCTGGACACCAATAGAAGTCACAAGACTGCTCAAACTTCTGATGAGAAAAGGTATTTAGCAGTTTATATTTACTAAAATAATTGCATTTCCATGTTCTGTGTACTGTGGGAGACCAGATATAGTGAATGCAGGGTCCTGAGTTTAGTAACACTTTAAGGATTGCTCATGGCCTTTTTACTGCAGCCAGGCGGTCCAGCTGCACTGGATTGTGTACATGTAAGTGAGCCAGCGTTTCTAGGTAGAAGGCGTACGCTCACGCCACCCTCAGGAGATGTGCTGTCATTCGGTACGGCACAAGTTGGTCAGCAGGTCCCAGCCAAGGATTTGGTGATGGGCTGCTTATCAGCTTAGCAAATCACAGTGCAGAGCCCTGTATTTACTAACAACACAGGGTTCAGCAATGTGGCTGTGGTTTCTCTCTGCAAACCAAGGACCAAAAACATTCACATTCATTCGTAAAAGCAACACATATTACTCACATTACACATTGTTAGGCACACAGTAAACTTTTTGTTTGCCCCTAAATGTTAACCTCTTCCCAGCCAGTGACATTGGTACAGTGACAGTGTACAGTACTAGCATGGATCACTGTATTAGTGGCACTATTAAAGTCAGTATCAGTTAGTCACTTTGTGTTCCTCCAAGCCAGAATCAGTTAGTGTCTTTAGCACTATAATTTAGATGTAACCCATTATTATATGCAGGTAAATAATAAACAGGTGGTGCACACACCTAGCGCATTATCCAAGGTTTATTCAAAGGTATAAAAGATAAAGACATTCTCACAGACGAAGCATGTATATAAAAAGCTTTTGCATTAAGAAGATGGCCACAGCGGCAAGCAAGGTGTTCCAACGGTCAGAGCGGTCAAATGGCTGATGTGTTTCGGGGATGAGTCCCTTTCCTCAGAGCTGCTGACCAGACTCTTAGACTAGTACAAATGTGTAGTGGATGAGGAGGACCGATGCTTGGAACAGCGTTGCTGCTATACCTTGCTTGCCGTTGTGGCCATCTTCTTAATGCAAAAGCTTTTTATATACATGCTTCGTCTGTGAGTATGTTTTTATCTTTTATACCTTTGAATAAACCTTGGATAATGCACTAGGTGTGTGCGCCACCTGTTTATTCTTTATCTAGTGGCTGATCACCCCGTCTGAGGAGGGCTGCACCCCTGAAGCATCTTCTTTTGGTTATCTCTGTCCTGGTTCCCTTGGCTTCCCTTTGGCTGTCCATTTTCTGAAGCGCTGGAGAGTACATACGATATCCGGTTCGGTTATATGCAGGTAAGTGTGATCCCTAATATTGATGGATTTGCCAATGAAAGTTGGTGAATAGATCTTATGACACAGGTTCCTCCCGATACTACAGTATATCACTGAAGAAGAATTTTATCACTAATGAAATTATATACCACTGAAGAAAAAATATATTAATGCCTGCTATTCATTGTAGTGGGTGATATCTCACTTAAAGTTTAAACCTCTAGGGATGCGAGTGTCCAGTTTAAATACTCTTCTCTGTACCTTTAAGAATTACTTAACCACACCAGAGATAAATCAGGTCTCCTGCCCTACCAGAAAAGGCTGTTGCATGTGACAGTGCTGTGCAAAACTCAGGACAGATTGACTTAAATGCATAAATTAGTATTATGTATTTTTTCAGTTTGTGCCTTAGAGTATTTTATATTTTTATTGGGGGGGGAACCTGTAGAGTTTCTAGCTTCAGATTTCTCAGAGAAAGGCTGGAGGTGGCCCTAAGCCAACAACTCATTTATGAAGTATTGCTGAGAGAAAAGAAACCAGTTGTAGCCTGACCTTGGCTTTTTGAGGCACTAACTACTCTTACCTGGAGCATACTCCTATGGTTGTGTGGCCATAACTTTACAAGGCTACTGTGCCTATCAAAATAATGCTGTAAGTCAATATTGAGGTGGTAAGAGCCATTGGCCCAATGCTATGTGATATACTGGGGATGCCCTGGCTACCTGAAGCCCTGTAATGTGAGTGAGCCACTGATATCCCTAAGCAGTAGGGTTGGCATGCTCATTTTATTTGCTAATAAAAGCTCTCAATAAAAGTGTTCACTGTTTTAGGTAGAATTGTCTATACTCCTTTCTATTCAAAATAGGTATGATATTCAGACATAATGACATTTTTACTTATAAACATAAGTACAAGGGAAAAAAGACACCTTTGCCCCGCAACTTAGTTTATGGTTTTTGCAAAAGTAGCTAAATTTATCTATATAAACAGTTTGGTGACTTTTTATGTCCTAACACCCCCCCCTTTACTTTCACTATGTGCTTTTTTATACTCCATAATTCTTGCAAACCACTTGTTTAGCAGCAATGACCCAGTAGCTACTCATTTGCAGCCCCGTCTAATAAGAAGCCCTGGCACTGTTTCACCCTACACCTGGGGATATCTAACAAACAAACAGCTACCCTCATTTATCTAGGTGTCCTAAAGAAAAATTGCCTATGTTTTCCAGAGCAATTAGATTACACATTTCCATTTTCAAACCTGACCATTGAAATCTGTTTGCTATGGGCAAAGCAAACAATTCCATATTAAGACAATGATGAAATGAGGCAGAATTTTAGAAACAATATTAATATTTAAAATAAGATATTACAATTTTTCATTTGTTAATAATAAAACATTGATATTCTTTAAATTACTTGATGTAAATTATTGTATGAGTGAACGCATTTAAACTGAGTTAAAAACAGAATTATTTGGCCTTTAAAGCTAAGCGTGTCTAATAACATGACATCTTTTATAGTGACCTATATTGATGAAATTAAATCTTGATCCCTAAGAATTAGGTGAATTAAAAGTCAGGAAACTGCCATTGTTGGCTAAGCACTCTCCCTTCAACTTTGATTTATGACTTTGATTTGGGCAGAATGAAAAACTACAGAAACATGTTTTGGATGAGTTAACCTAATCACAACTTATTTTTTTAAAATTACAACTTATACAGTGCTATTTACTGCACTGCTTGCCAATAAATTCTCTTGCAATTTACTGCAAGAGAAATAAATTTTGCAAAGCACAAAATAAACCTGAATGAAAGAGCACATAATATCATAGGGGAGGAATTTGATTTATATAATGCTTGAAGGCAAGTCCAAACGTGAAATCCAGTCCCTGCACTGGGATATCAGAAAATCTTGATAAAGTTTTCATTTTATGTCCTTTCTCATTATGCGTTCAACTGTTATGCCAATGGCTATCAACAAGATGGGCTCACAAGCAACATGGTCACTGGTCAGTTGCTTATTGGCTTGTACTTCTGCCTTCACTAAATATACTGTATTTGTTCTTTACACTTTTCAAATACAGTATCTTCAATGCATGGAAGGAGAACATAATATTTTCTAGTTTCTAGTATGCCTCTGGTCATACTGCTAGAGGACACCAAAAATCTTTAACGTACATAGGATTAGGATTATTTTTTCACAAAAAAAATGAAAATAGTCTATATACATACATATACATACATATACATATATACACTATATTGCCAAAAGTATTGGGAAGCCCCTCCAAATTATCCATGGCCACAGGTCTATAAAATCAAGCACCTAGGCATGCAGACTGCTTCTGAAAACATTCCTGAAAGAATGGGTCGCTCTCAGGAGCTCAGTGAGTTCATGTGTGGTACCGTGATAGGTTTCCACCTGTGCAGTCCATCCATGATATTTCCTTGCTGCTAAATATTCCACGGTCAACTGTTAGTGGTAGTATAACAAAGTGGAAGCAACTGGGAACAACAGCAACTCAGCCACGAAGTGGTAGGCCACGTAAAATGACAGAGCGGGGTCAGCACATGCCAAAGCGTGCAGTGCGCTGAAGTTGACAACTCTCTGCAGAGTCAATAGCTAAAGACTTCCAAACTTCATGTGGCCTTCAGATTAGCAAAAAAACAGTGAGTAGAGAGCTTCATGGAATGGATTTCTATGGCCGAGCAGGTGCATACAAGCCTTAAATCACCAAGTGCAATGTAAAGCGTTGGATGCAGTGCTGTAAAGCACACCACCACAGGACTCTAGAGCAGTGGAGACATGTTCTCTGGAGTGACAAATAACGCTTCTCTGTCTGGCAATCTGATGGACGTGTCTGGGTTTGGTGGTTGCCAGGAATACAGTACTTGCCTGACTGCATTGTGCCAAGTGTAAAGTTTGGTGTAGGGGGATTATGGTGCGGAGTTGTTTTTCAGGGGTTGGGATTGGCTCCTTAGTTCCAGTGAAGGAAACTCTTAAGGTGTCAGCATACCAAGACATTTTGGAAAATATAATGCCCCAACAATGTGGGGACAGTTTGGAGATGACCCCTTCCTATTCCAACATGACTGTGCACAAGTGCACAAAGCAAGGTCCAGAAAGACATGGATGAGTGAGTTTGGAATGGAGGAACTTGACTGGCCTGCACCTCAACTCAATAGAACACCCTTCGGATGAATTAGAATGGAGACTGTGAGCCAAGCCTTCTCGTCTGACATCATTGCCTGACTCACGAATGTGCTTCTGGAAGAATGGTCAAACATTCCCATAGACACACTCCTAAACCTTGTGGACAGCCTTCCCAAAAGAGTTGAAGCTGTTATAGCTGCAAAGGGTGGGCCAACTCAACATTAAATCCTATGGATATGGCAGGGATGCCATTAAAGTTCATGTGTGTGTAAAGACAGGTGTCCCAATGCTTTTGGCAATATAGTGTATTGTATAGCACAACTAGGAGGGTGGCAGCAATTTCTCTCTTAGAGTTCAGTAGAATTCCACTTCTCTTCCTGCAAACTACTGATTGAACAGTTGAGGAACAGCAACAAACAAACTTTTCAACCCTGCTCACTCTCCTTTCTCCTGTCAGTATGTTCCATCTCAGTAAATGTGCATGCAACAGTATTTGATTGGGTTCTATTGCTTCTCCTCTCTCCCCCAGTGTTGCTCTAGGAAGGATAACAGGAAGATGATCATTTTGGGTGTAGGTTTAAGTGTTGGGAGAAGTTGTTAATAAATAGTTTAGGGCTTGAGGAGCATATTTTGGGTTAAAGTGTATATCTAGGCAACA